CCAGGTGGGCCGTGAGGGGAAGCCGGCGAGCGGGCCTTGGCACCTGTGGCTGGGCTGGAGGGCCTTGTGGTCCGCCAATCTTCGCTGCCGACCCTCCCCCCTCGCACTCTCGCGCAGGGCCGGCCCTGTGTTTTTAGGGGCCCCTTATATACACATGAACTAAGCACTTATACGTATAAATTGTTAATGATAAACGCTTAGTTACATATACAAAAGCGATATTCAGAAGAAAAAAAATCACATATAATAAAATACCTTAAAATTTTATTCTGATGTTCTCGATGTGAAGTCATTAATTATGATAGATACTCTAGTTGCTAGACAACAACCAGTCAACCATCACCATCTTGTTTAGATCTCTACGCTTGAATTACTCTTATAAAAAAACTTACGTATAGATCTCTCCGTGATTGTATTAATTCATCTACTCATGCTCACTTTTTTCTTTTCTCTATTTGACGAGATTTTGTACAAAATATTTTTTTAAAATAATGGAAGCATGTAAGCTTTACTGTACGTGTGCATGCATAATCATGTGTGCTTTGAAGAGGCAAGTAGATAGTGAAGGAAACTAGCAAATTGCTCTGGCTTTCATGTCTTGTTTAATAGGAGAAGGTGAAGAAAGCTAGTTAGCATGGTTGCTTAGGGCCCACCAGATCGAATTCGCAAAGTAGCTCGCATGAGGATCGTCAGGTTGTTGCAGAGCGGTGTACCTGCAGGCTAGCAACGGTGCAGACTATTCGCTGGCTAGCTGCTGTGCCTTAAATACGGTATTCCTCGGATGGGGCCCATGGGATCGGGGGCCCAGGGCGGCCGCCCTCAGTGCCGGCCCTGCTCTCGCGATGGTGGACCACAGAAGCATGCGACGGCCCAGCGGCAGCTCACGCAGAGCGCGCGGTCCGCGCATTGACGCCCGTGCTTCTTCAGTCGTAGGTGGTTCGGTAGTTACGTTCTTTTTCTTTTTCTTTTTTCTATTTCTTTTTCGTTTTCCTTTTTCTTTTCCTTTTCCTTTTCCTTTTCCTTTTCTCTATGTTGTTTTATTCTTCTTTTTATTTTTTATTTTTCTTTTATTTCCTTTGTGCATTTTTTCTTTCCTTCTTTGATTTCTTTTTTCTTTTTCTTTGGGCATTCCCATCTATGCACGGGAAACGGAGGGAGATGGGGCCAAGCTGCAGTGGGGCAGGGAAGAGGCACGCGCGGGAGATTTCTCCCGTTCGCGCCAGCAATGGGACGGACGCGGGAGGTCAAGGCGCGACCCTGGTTGGGTCCACGCGGGGTCCAGGTGGGAGGTTGACCGGCCACTGGTGGGGCACCACGTCGGCGGGCTAGGGGCAGGTGGTCAGCGCTGGTTTGGCCAGGGTCTTTGAGCGGCTAGCTGAGCATCAAAACGGACGGGTACGGGCAGAAAAATCCCTCTCCCGTTTCTGTTTCTGCAGAAATAGGATCGGCTTCACGAAAAAAAAAACTAAACTAAAAAAGGATACACGGGCGACGGCGACGGACTTGGGCGTACGCGCAGCATCCATGAATGAATCTAAGGTCTCAAGTGACCGTCCAGTGATATTACGCTTGACACGCTTCCTAGTCACACGTACATATATACAATGTTCCTTCACTTTCTTTTAAGGTTGTTTATTGGTTCCTATTGAGATTCATCTATATATATGCACATATAATGCTCCATCTCAAAATGTCACATTAATTGCGCTATTATATATTTATGCTTTCCAAAAAAATTTATCTAACGTTCTTACTCCTTGGCCTCTACATCAACAACACATACACTACTACATAAACGATTTTGCGCAGCGTTGCACTTTTGCACTCCGTGGCGGGCACCTATTTTTGTCCGCTGTGGTAAATCACACGATTTACCATGGCGGGTATTTTTTATTTACCGCAGCGGGCACTTTTGTCCACCACGGTAAATCGATTTACCGTGGCGGGCATTTTATAAGGCCCGCCGCAGTAAATACGGCCCGATCCAGAGCCCAGATACGGTCCAATTTCGAGGTCACGTATATATACAAGAGCCTAGGGTTCCTCAGCGCCGCACCACACTTCTCTCCCTCGCCCCTGCCCTACCCCTCCTCTCTCGCGCCGCACCACTCTCTCTCCCCTGCCCTACACTCCTCCCGGCGGCCCTCCTCCCTCCGCTCCTCTCTCCCCGGCGACGCGCCCCCTCCCCTCCTCTCCCTGGCGGCGCTCGGCTTGGCAAGGCGCGCGCGGCGGCGCTCGGCGAGGCGAGGCGAGGCAGGGCGGCGGCGAGGCGCGCTCGGCGAGACCCGCGCGGCGGCGTTTGCGGTGGATCCAGGGCGCCCGGTATGTCTCTCCCTCTCTCTCCCACCCTCTCTCTCCTCTCAGTCCTCCCTCATCTCTCTCTCTCTCTCATAGGCGAGGTGCTGCGCGGCGCAGGGACGGGCACACGGCGGCGGATCCAGGCGGCCGCGTCGACTCCCTGCGACGTGGATCCACACGACAACGGATCTAGGGTGGATGCGTGGATCCAGGCCGGCCGCGTCGACTCCCTGCTCCCGCGACGTGGATCCACACGGCGGCGGCATGGATCCATGGCAAGACGGCCCCAACCTGCGGCGTCGGCGCAGATCCGGAGGCGGATCCGGCGAGGAGGAGACCCCGGCGGCGGATCCAGGGAGGTGCGGTGGCTCCAGTATTGGGCTGGGACGGGCTCGTCGATGGGCTCGAGAATGGGCTCGCCGGCGGGTTCCTGTTTTTTTTTTTATTTTTTTAAACGATTAACCGCGGCGGGCATCCTAACGTGCCCGCCGCGGTTAAGCCACGATTTACCGTGGCCTCTAGGCCGCGGCGGACGGCTTTGACCGCCGCGGAAAACCGAAAACGCCCGCCTCCATTAAAGTTTGTGTAGTAGTGATATAAGAGATCTATCGTGCAAGTGTTTCAGTTCATCACATTGTTGACTGTTGAGTTGTTGATGTGTGTATGCGTAGTGTCGTGGGCAACTCCTTACTTGCGTAGTAGCTTCTTGATGTGACTTTTAGCCGGCCGGACAGTCCATGTCCATCTGCCATCTTGCAAGGCGCCACACGACTTGTCTGCATGCATCTACAACGTACTATGTTTCCTTAAGAAAGACCATTCCGCAAGAAAGACCACATATATACCTCCCACTCTCGCCTGGCGCAGCGAGCTGCCAACCGCTTTCACAGGCCGGATGGATCCTCAGCAGCACTCCATCCAGCTTGCCGCCGGTGCTTCGCCTGCCGGCTCGCCTGCAAAGGCAACGCCGCCGCCGATGCAGCAGCCGCCGCAATGTGACCATGAGCGCATGGTCGTCGGCAACATGTGCCCTTCTCTCTATCTCGCCGTCTACAAAGGGAGGATGGCCGAGGTCACGGCGCTGCTTCTGCAACAACACGCCGCTGCGATAGACTGTCAAGCCACTGGTAACTAACGAAACAGACCTAAACCTTTTTTTTTCCTTCTCTTTCTGCTTCCAAATTCTTCATTTGGCTCCAAGAATTAATATTTGAATTTGAGTACTGGCCAATAATAACTAGCTGGTTATTTATGTGATGTTAAGTTTAAAAGACTCAAAAAAAAAATGGTAAAAAGACAAGGGATAGAGGGGAGGATGATTGAGACCTAGAATACCCAGACATCCAAAATTGGATGCTTGAGAGTGTTGTTTGGTCCAAGCAGATATTTCTAGCCACGTACCTGTGTCGGTAAATACTGCATGTAAGTGCATGGTATGACACCCATGTATAAATGGCCAAATTAAATGCGCCGCTCGGCCTGACATAGTACGGGCCCACGGAGGGTATGACTCGATGGGGGTCAGGCCGGCACGGCAGGACTGGATGCTAGGCAAGAAATGCTAACCCAGACCGTGCCATACCTAGGCCGAGCCAGAATCCTGTGCCATGGCCGGACCATCAGCCCGCGGGCCTTTTGGTCAACTATACCCGTGTGGCGACTTTGTTGACCGTTAGAACGGTCAATATTCAAATCAAATGTAGATGGTTTCTTATGGGAAAGCAACGTCAAAGAGACTTCCAAGCATGTCCCCGTCATGATGCCTTCTATCGGAACACTTGTACTTACAACAACTAATTTCACGGCGACACAACTACCACAAAAATACGGGACACACCACCTTTCGTTAAAATAAAAGAAATCTATAATTTTAGGTGAGAACAAATAAATTGCATCAACCTACTGTGCAAATTTCAAATCTTTCTATATCTCAACCTTTTTATTTATTTTAAGTTTTCCAAAAAAATAAAAGCATCAAGGCAAAATGACTGTTATTATTAATCTTAATATTACTTTTGGAGACTCATTTTGGAGCTACCATGATAATCATCATCTAGCTATAACGCACTAAAGGAAAGAATTGTATAATTCTCACAAAAATAAAAAGCACGTAGTTGTGTGGTAGGTGGCTTAGGAGCAAATAAGGGTGAAAGATGAGACAGGGAAGAAAGAGCTGAATACTAAGGCACCGGCAAGCTTCTGCGATAGTTGTTTGATGAGTTGGTAGTGAAATAGCAAATAAGAGTAACTCTAGCAGCTCCTCAAATAGGCTCCTAAACCATATTTTGAAAGCTCAGGTCAAAAACACAGGTTGAGCAGGACTCCTACTTAGACCCATAAAAATAAAAGGCTCTTAAATTCTCCCCACGGGATCGGACCTCATTTTTGGGAACCTAGATGAGGCCTATATTTTTCAGTTTCAGTCATTTATCTCCCCGACCTATCTAAAACTAAGCTCGCTCGGGCACTCGCTACACTTCCTAACACTCCCCTTGCCGGGTGCGCTGTTTCTTACGTCCCTCCCACCCACCCAACGCTCTGTGTGGCCTACCCCAGTGACTACTCCTCCCACTCTCCTGTTGTCGTCCTCCCCTTCGGTTCCGCTAATGGCGTGCCTCTCCCCAGCCTACTCCCCAGCGACTACCTTTCTATGTGTGGAGACATTGTCGGATCCATCCCGCCATTATTCTCCTCCCCCATCGATGGGGCCAAGCGCACAGAATGCTCTGCACGCTGCCGTTTTCCAGCTTTCAGGTTAGTTGCTTGTTGGATTCTTAATGGTACTACTGGAAGAAAAAAAATAATGCAGTGAACTAATGTGTTGATCATTTGCGTTGCCTGCAGAAATGGTTCACCTGCTACTGGAATGGAGGCCAGCTCTGGCCGACCCAGTCGACTGCAGCGGCAGCAGCCCGCTCCATTTCGCGTCGTCGGACGGCGATCGCAGCATCGTGCGTGCAATCCTGCGCGCCGGGCCGCCGGGAACGGTGTACAAGAAGGACTCGAGCGGCCTGTCGGCTCTCCACGTCGCGGCGCGGATGGGACACCACCGCGTCGTGACGAACATGCTAGGGAGCTGCCCCGACGCCGCCGAGCTCCGTGACGCCAATGGCGGGACCTTCGTCCACGCCGCGGCCCGGGAGAAGCGCTCCTCGGTGGTGTCGCTCGCCACCAAGGATCCCATGCTGCGCGGCCTCCTGGACGCGCAGGATAGGGACGGGAACACGCCTCTCCACCTTTCGGTGGCAGCGGGATCGACCGGCATCGTGGAGGATCTGCTACACAACGGCAAGGTGCGGGCCAATGTTCCGAACAACGATGGTCACACAGCGTTTGATCTCGCCGCCAGATCAACCACCATCCAGTTTCTTCAAAATGGTAAGCCTGGTGGTCGCGCTAGTCGCTTATGGGGCACAGCTCCGGCCGCAGAGGCAGGACCAACTGGAGCAGTGGGTTGGCCGCGACATGGTGCGGAAGGGGATACAGAACACGTCGGACAACCTCGCGGTGGTGGCCGGCCTCATCGTCGCCGCCGCGTTCGCCGCCGGGTTCAACTTGCCCGGTGGGTACGGCGACGACGGCAAGGCAAACCTCAAGGACGAGACTGTCTTCAAGAGCTTCCTGCTCTTGAACACCGGGGCCGTGGTAACGTCCATCGTGGTGGTGATTCTGCTCGTCTATGGGAAGGCGTCGCGCTCTGCCGGCTCGTGGAAGAGCTTCGCGGCGGCGCTGCAGCTCTTGTGGGTGTCGCTCGTCTGCATGATGCTGGCCTTCCAGGCGGCTCTGCTCTCCGTGGCGACCACGGGGACACTCAGTTACGGGTTGCTGGGTGTATACACATACACGTGCATCCTTGTCTTGCAAGTATGCATCGCGGAGCGGCTGGGGCCTAGGACGAGGTTGCGCACGATTTGGAGGTTTCACTGGAAAGGAAGAAGGCATGTCGACGTCAAACGACAGTATCCGTTCGCCAAAGCTACCGTACTCAAATTACAACTTTTTACAGCTACAAGTTTCCTAGTTTCTATAGGTTTTCAAGTCATCTTTTTTTAAACCGGAGATCCAAGGACACCTCAATTGCTCCATCACCATCTGCTCTTTATTATTAGAGGGAAAAATGCCATCTGGGGAGTTCGGTACTCACGTTGCAAGACTCAGCCTATGGCTCATCAAATTATTGAACTTGATGTATTCTTATTTGATCCAAAGAAAAGCAAAAATAGATGAAGAGATAAGCTGGACCTTTTTAGACACATGAACTACATATATATGGCTTTGTAATGTTGGTGAGACACATAAATCTTGTCAGTAGCTTTGTTTAGTTTGTAAAATGTTCGTGCTCCAATGACGATGACATGTAATCTATACTAGCCATTGCTGCACGCGCTTCGCTGCGGATGATGCGCTTGGTATAGGAAAAATCTTGGGAAATATGGCTCATATGTCTAATATGTTTTCTCATCGCGTTGCTACGAAAGGTTAGTCTCTTTGCTACATTAAATGGGAAAATATGGGAAGAAAAGGTAACATGTTTTTTATCATTACAATGTTGTAAACGAACATAGATGTTGGTTGTCATTACATGGTGCCTATTCTAGGCCAGCAAATCAATGACATGTTAGTGGAAAGAAGTATTTGATGGAGTTGGGCTCAAGCAACTAACACGTTTAGATTCAAAGCACAACATTGGCTAGGATTACATTATAGGTGTTAAGAGCAAAAACTACAACACAAGTGCGTCTCCTAGCGCGAGGGTTTACAAAAGAGTGAATTAGGATCCACTCCACTTAGGCGAAACTACAACACATTTCGTAAATCTGGAATTACACGAAAGATTACACGACGTCGAATACTAAATTACACCGGGATTTAAAGTTACATGGTTAAGAGCAACCTAGTACGACCAAGGCTTACTCCAGAAGTCGGGATAGACGAGGGCAATGGAGAAACAACAAGATAATGATTATCCAGAACATGGCGTATTACTAACAGATTCAGAAACAGGAGACTGAGAAGTCAAACATCATGAACCCTAAGACCAAACTAACTAAGGGTAGGCTTGAACTTCTTCGAAAACCAGATCCCTTCTTCTCAGATTACACCATCGCCTCTGTCAGACGAACCTAGTTCCACAATGACGACTGGATCTCGTAGCTCTGCTTCGGATTCGAGAGGGATGTGGATGAAGAAGAAGAGCAAGGACCAAGGGCATCTTATAGTGGCGAACGGAGATGGGGCGCAGCGCACCGGAAGTGGAGACATCATGGATGGGATACACTGCCGGTTAACGCCGTGGGGATAAAGTCGGCCATGGTGCGCTCCCTGCGCAGGCAAGCAGAGGGGGGAATAAAGGAAAGGAGAGAGTGTTCGCTCGACGAGGGAGGTGTGCGGGCGGACGTGTCCCCAAAAGGAGAAAGAAGGGAGGGGGTCCAGTACGGGGACGAGGGCGAGGATCAAGAGCGGACCGGAGGCCGGGAAAAGGAGAAGCGCACAGTGCACGAGGACGGCGGACGCGGCACGATGTCGTGGACATGCAAGGACAGGGTGCTAATGGGCCCGACACCGACGGCATCCGCGGGCACGCGGCGACAACGACCCGGCGTGCATAGCGTGGTTGAGCTGGGCACAGTGCTTGGGACTTGACATCCACTCAGGCTTTTCTAAGCACTCCCTACTACCCAAGGCTAACTTTTCCTAGTTGTTCTTCTTTCCTTCCCTTCCTTGTCCACAATATGCGCCAAACTTTGTATGAAGTGAGATCGCAACATACATGCTTCCTCCGAAACCACCTCCTCTTGTTTACTTTGAGAGAATACTATTTCATCAACCCGTTGTGGATTTCCCGTTCAAACAGTCGAATATTGGTATCAAAAGTGGTATAGCGGTGTAACTTGGTAAAGGTACTTGGTCATCAACCTCGATACCAGCGCATGCCGAGCAGCGTCACTATGTGGCAGCTGTTCCACAGGGGCCCTCGGTTTTGTTGCGGCACTATAAGCTATTAACCAGGCAACTACTACCAACTTACAGGCAATGAAGACGGTGGGGTCATAGACCATAGAATCAGAGGAGTATTGTAAGGGAAGATTCAAACAACAAGGGTTCCTTTCGCAACAAGGGACAATAACTTCAAATCCAACAACAGATTTGATTTAAAGAGATTCAAGTGTTTTGCTGGGACATCCACAATTAGTCGATATAGTGTCCTATGTTATCCAATCACGGCTGGTTTGCTCACATACGAATGGTAATTTCTCTTGTAACCCACTTAACATCGCCCTCGAAAACCCTCAACAATGGCATGAATCTGCATGAACTGGTCAGGCCGGTTTCCTAGGGGTTTTGCTAAAGAATGGTAATTATCATACTTACTTGGTGAAGAGCAGTTATAAGGTTTATGAGCAAATTAGAAAAGGATACCCCTATTGTGTTTAAGTGATGATGAATGGCTAGTTTTTTTTTGCAAACTTGCAAAGAAACTATCAGAACTCTCACTTAGGAGTGACCTAGTTATGGTGTCAACATCGGCGGGTTGCCGCCCTAGGTTTCCCGATATGTCTAGAATGCCATCTCTGGCCATCCACTACTACAAAAAGTATTTGTAGGGGCGGCTGGTAACCCTTTGTAGGGTCGGTTTGGCCAGCTGCCCCTACCGAACCGTCTCTACAAATCATGCATTTGTAGGGGCGGTTCCCAGGCCACCTCAACAAATCGATTTGTAGGGGCGGCTGGTACTACAACCGACCCTACAAATAGATTTGTAGGGGCAGCTCGTATTACCAGCCGCCCCTACAAATCGATTTGTAGGGGCGGCTGTAGTACCAACCGCCCCTACAAATCGATTTGTAAGGGCGGATGTAGTACCAGTCGCCCCTACAAATACATGTTTGTAGGGGCGGTTCAATCTAGAACCGCCCCTACAGTACGTTTTCTCGCCAAAAAAATTCAAATTTACAATTCAAAATCGCGTTGCCGAACGCCCCGCGACAAACGTTCCAAACCGCGTTCACGTTGCCGAACGCCCTGTGATCCGAACCACGTTCGCGTTGCCGAACGCCCCGCGACCAGCGTTCGCGTTGCGGAACGCCCCACGACCCCGACTACAAGCACAAGAGTATTATATAAACTACAATTACAAGTCCAATTGAAAAGAATATATACACCCCATCATTAAATATACAAATTCCATACACATTGTTATCAACGTCCTAGAGTTAGCCTTTCAGTCTCACGAAGGTGTTGGTACTGAGGATTTGTACCTAAGTCAGACTCTCGGTCATGGTAGGCGCCTTTGACGTGTACAATCTGGTCCAATATGAAGTTGCAAAGGTCGCCGACGAGCTCTAAGAGTTGGTCATCCTTGTATGGGTCTCTTTTCATTCCTTTCTCTTCTCTTCACTATAAGAGAACAAGTTTTGGTTTAGTATTTCATACCATGTACGAAGTTTTTATACTACGGGTGAAGAGGTTCAAACTTACCCTTAAGGGGTGTCTCCTGTAGGCACCGGTGTTACTCATCATCGAACATATATAGTATCCACAATGTACACTCCTAGGCTTCTGCTTGGGGCACTGTATGTTTTGCATATGAAAATGTTAAGTAATGCTTTTGACAGCCATGTAACAGAGTACTAAAGAAGTTACACTTACCGCACATAGTGTTTTTATAGCTAGCTTTTCCTTTCTTGCTGGATCATGCCTTCCGTGATGATCAGTGATATAGAACCTAAATGCCCTGTTCGAATTATTTTAGCAAATACAACTTGTTAGAATCCAAAAGTGAATGTTACAAGTACGTATACAAACATATAAGCTAATGAGGATTGTCGATATATATACGTCTTGAGAATCGATATGAAGTCTTTGTATGTCATCGGGTCCCTATCTATTGAATCAAAGACCCATGCCATGCTCCTCCCGACATCGATGGCTATACAAATCCAGTGGTTGCTGTATGGATTTAATCATAGAACTAGATAAGCCCTTTTGCATCGAATAAAATATATCTAACAAAGCTTTAAGTATAGAGTTGAACTTACTCGAAGTTGTATGGTAGCCATATAGTAGAGTGTTGTTGGAGAGTTTTGAAAGCCAGGGCAATGTATGCCGCAACCTTAAGGGACTCTTCCCTTAGTTTCGCCGTACGGATGTGCTCTTTCTCCCGAAGAGTCTTTGCAGCAGCTAGTTCTTTGGCATCCAGTGTCCACCGTTTAGGGTAATTAAAATTTGTTTGGGCCATAGCTTGAGGGTCTAGATACTCGGCTTTCACACTTGGCATTTGTTTGACAATGTGCACTTGCATTCTACAAATCACGGCGTGGGTTAGTTACAACAAAATTCAAAGATTACATTCATATCATATTGGGAGGACAAGGACTTACAGGCACCACGTGCGAATTAGATTCATCTCCATTTCTCCTAGGTGAAAGCATGTGTGCATGTCATTGAAGTCAAAGACAATTTTCTCGGTTGGGCTTCCAAATGTGCCAGTGGGGAAGCATGCTTGTATGAGATCTATGCTCGTTGAGAGAACACGCAAGTACCAATCATGGAACCTTCTCATTCCAAGTGGTAGGCGCTGGATGTCCCGGTTTGGTAGGAAGGGCTTGCCTCTTTCATATGTTTTCGGGCAATCCTTTGACCATTTGATGGCATCAACATTTGGATACTGCTTTGTAATTTGGTGGAGTTTGCTAGTGACGGCCTCCTCAGAACCCCGTGATGGGACTTTTTTAACTTGGTTCTCAGGCTTGAACTGGTCATGAGAAAACCACTTGGACACCGACGAGACGTCTTTGATCGGAACATAAACTGGCCTTATGGTGATTGGATGCTTCTTTTGAAGTTCCCATTCAGGCACGTCCTCATCTTCTTGTGCATCACCTTCTTCAGGAGGCACTCGTTGTTCATGTATCGGCTGTGCTTGTTGAGAAGACTATGGCATCTCATCATGCACTTGCTCGGTACGAGCTGGAAAAGGTTGTGGCATCTCATCAGGCACATGCTCGCTAGGAGGCAGGGAAGAATGTGGCATCTCAGGAATGTGGTCACGA